GGCGACAGGTATGCCTCCATGTCGGGCAACGCCCTTCCACCCACGCCCGAGGTCCCTACACATGGCTCGCCACAACGGACCAACACGGTATCATCGCGACCGCTACCCCCACCGCCGCCCCACGAGTCCGATAGTGACGAATATTTCGCGCCGCAGCAGAACGGGTATCAAGACGAACTATTCAACGACGTTATGAACATGACATCTGGCGGCGCCCAGGTACAACAGCCGAACGGCCAATACTACAGCGAGTCTGCAGGAAGAAACGGCACGAATGGCGCAGTTGCTGGACGCGACACCTACCTTAGTGACGAGAGCGACGTAGAGGCAGCTGCTGGTCTAGCTGCACTTCAGATGGCCGAGGAACAAGAAAGAGAAGACGAAGCTCGTAGAGCTAGTGGTGGCACCGGGCTCTTCAGCAACTACACGTCGGTACATTCCCCGCAGATGCCTGCCGAGCCGATGCGACAGGAAAGTGCCAGCGATAGTGACTACGTGGGTATGGACGTGGGTACCTATGGCGGCGGATTCGCACCATCTTTCAACTATGGTGGAGACCCAAGCGTACTGGCAGCGGGTGGAAGTCACACAGCGTCCACCTCAGGCTCTCAGCGACGATCTGACCCTATGCACGACGACTACGACCCGATCCATCCCTTCCCGTCCTTCTCGAGCAACGCGCGTGTCGACACATTTGGTACCGGTGGTCTGGAAGAGCCTAGCGCACGGCGGCGGAGCTACGACGAGGGCGATGAGGTCACACTCATGGATAGCGCATCTGCCCTGTCCGGCTCGACACTCAATGGCCCTTCAGCAGTAATGCCGGGCGAGCCACCGGATATGTTCTATCACCCGGGCATTTCAAACCGGCCACTACCCCCACCTCCAGTGAACACCGGCAGCCGGCGAATGAACCACCAAAGCAACAGCTCCACTGGATCTGGATCCTACGAATACTGGCGTAACGCTCCTGCTGCGCAGCGTTCGTACCCGGTGGATGCGAACGCTATGCACATGATCTCTCCCACCGGGGCCCCTGTGCCCCGTTCAACCTCTCTACTCCAGCACAGCAATGCCCGAGATGCCATTCCCTTGCCTCGTTCCAAGACAGACGCTGAACAGGGGCACAGACCTAGACCTCCTCCCGGCAACCGGAATACCTTCTATGGCGGTGCCATGGATAGCGACGGCAACACCCTCACCCCTGGCAGCGCCGAAGCCGTAGCTATTGACCTACCCACGATTCCAGCCGGCAAGCGCTTCAATCCCGCCAAGCTTTCCAGCATCGACTTCAAGAAATGCACTGAGCCTTGGGCACTTAGCTCAATCATCTCCTGGCTGAAGAACATGACCGAAGGCGAGAATGACCTTAAGGAGGGTCCGATTCAAGAAGGTCTTATTGCGCTATTCACCCACAAAGTTCCAACTATGAACATTGCGGATGCCGAGACACTGAGTAGTCGGGTAGTGGCTGAGATGTACAAAGCAGGCACGCTTGTGCATGAGGAAGAATGGTTGAGATTCTCAACCGCGAGCATGACTGGAGTAATATTCCAGCTTACGGGGGCCGGATGCTACGCTCCCATGTTGCATACACATGCAAGCCCAGGTCGATGTTACTCGCACCATTGCCAACGCACACTCAAGAAGATCGACCTGCACGCTCCGTCCGCAGCACCTCGATCAGAAGACTGGGCTACCTTCTATAAGCTGAAGAAAGAAGACATCGAAGGAGCAAACAAGAAGGAAATTGAACGTCAAAACATCCTACACGAGATCGTCCAAGGAGAAGACAAGTACATGAACCGACTTGACGTATTACGGCACCTCTACCGGGACCGACTTCAATCAGCCCAGCCTCCGGTCATACCTCCTAAGAAAGTCGACAGATTCATCCGCGACGTGTTCAGCAAGGTAGACGCAGTACGGAAAGCGAACGAAGACCATCTCCTTCCACAAATCAAGTACAGACAGCAAGAGCAAGGTCCATGGATTGTAGGCTTCAGTGATATCTTCCGAGAATGGATCCGAAAAGCGAAGCAGGCCTACATCGAGTACGCCGCGGCTTTCCCGTACGCATCCTTCCTGGTTCGACAGGAAGCTGACCGAAACATACTGTTCCGCACCTTCCTAGACGACGCTCAAAAGCACAAGCTATCAGAAAAGCTTGGATGGGATACATATCTCAAAGGCCCTATCGACAGACTGCAGCGCTATGGTCTTCTCATAGACACAGTCATCAAGTACTCGACTGTGGACAACGAGGAGAAACGAAATCTCCAGGTCGCCAAAGAAGAGATCAAAGCCGTGACACTAGAGTGCGACAGCCGTGTCGCTGAAATGAGTCGGAAAGTCAGTCTCACCGACTTGCAAGCAAAACTCATCTTGCGGCCAGGTATGCAACGAGTGGAGCTCAACCTGGATCACCTGGGCCGAGAGCTCATCTTCCGAGGCGACTTGCAAAGGATGGGAGGCAGCCGTTTCAACTGGCTTGAGACCCACGCATTGCTCTTCGATCATTACCTTGTGCTCGCCAAGGCAGTCTCTTTCCGAGAAGCAGACGGTGTTACCAAGTCTGAGAAGTATGATGTGTCAAGATTGCCAATTCCCATGGATCTTCTTGTTCTCGAGAGCGAAGACGACGATCCCGTTGTGCGGTCTACCATGAAGGGTATCTCTACTGTCACCACCGTTTCTGGTCGGGTCGGTTCTGGGGCTGCGACAAGATTGAACAACAGCCCTGTACCCGGTGGTCTATCACACACAAGCACCTCAAACTCGCTTGGGTCGACCAACACGAGCAATTCCGGCAAGACCATGGTCAACACCACCTCCAATGATGCTTCAAAGGATGAGAAGATTTTGTACCCCTTCCGCGTAAAGCACTTGGGCAAGGAGACCTACACACTATATGCGCCATCAGCAACGAATCGTGCCGAGTGGTGCGACAAGCTCATCATTGCGAAGACGCGACACGCAGCAGCTCTCTTTGCTCAAAACGCCGAACCGTTCAAGTTGAGAGTCATGGCTGACGCAGCCTTCGCATATGACAGCGCGATGCCTTCGCAAAAAGCTATCACGATCAAGGGAACGCCTTTGGATCGCGCAGTCGACGAAGTGGAGAAACTTTTCGTCAATGTTGGGCGGCCTGTCCCCATCTGCCGCGCAAGGGTGAACTGCGCAACAGCCTTCAGCCAGCCCTACGGCAAGCACATGGTAGCCGTTGGTACAGACATTGGAGTCTACGTGTCGGAATTTGATAATCCTAGAGGCTGGTCCAAGGTATGTAATGCGTTCGTAGTCGTATGATATGGTGCTAACACTCATAGGCAATCCAAGTACCACGTGTGACGCAAATCGCCGTCCTCGAACAGTTCAGCTTGATGCTGCTCATCTCCGACAAGGCACTCATTGCGTACCATCTCGATGCGGTATGCCCAGTGAGTGGCGTAGCCCCCTCAAACGACTCAACACGACGAGCACCCCAAAAGCTATCGGGTGCACGCGACATTGGCTTCTTCGCCACTGGCGTGATGAAAGACAGAACGCTAGTGTTCTACAAGAAGCGTGACGGTATCTCATCCACCTTCAAGGTGCTTGAGCCTGTTTACCAGAAATCATCCGAGAAGAAGTCCAGGATATGGAAGTCTGGACGCACAGAATTCTTCCGCGAGTACGACGAGTTCTATATCCCAGCAGAGTGCTACACGATCAATCTCTTCCACTCGTCGCTGGCAATCTCCACAGCAAAGGGCTTTGAAGTGCTTACCCTCGACAAGAAGCAGCCATGGTCCGTACCCGATCTAAAGCAATCACACGTGGCCACCATCGCTTCACGTCTTCAAAACCAGGACCCACTGGGCATGTTCCGCCTCTCGGATCAAGAGTTCTTGCTCTGCTACGAAGAGTGTGCCGTATACATCAACAAGAACGGTGACATCTCGCGGTCCGTCATCATGGAGTTTGTCGGCAAAGCCAAGTCTGCCGCTATGTACGGTCCTTACGTACTCTTGTTCGACCCAGACTTTGTCGAGATCAGAAATGCGCAAAACGGTCGTCTGCGCCAAGTTATCGCTGGACGCGATGTCAAGTGCCTCGATGACGGGCTCAGCGGAGGTTCAAGTCACAACAGGACAGTCAAGCTGAGCTTACAACATCCGCAACATGAAAGGAGTCAGGTTGTCGTTGAGCTTGTACTTAACGAAGGGCAAAAGGAGTAAGGCAAATATATACAGATGGATACTTGGATGGCCTGCTGTGCAACACCATCTTCCCGACCATACTACGCTACATCTACGGCAAGCGGGCGGAGTTATGGAGTCAGGAACCCGGGGCTGGGTATACCCACCGCTGCACTACCCGTTGCGACAGAGCTGGGGCGATTGGCGCTCTTTCTTGCATATCATTAGGATCTTGTTTCTTGTTCGCGTAAGGATACCTGGTTCATTTGTGCTTGGTGTTTTGGTTTCTCAGGCGGCTAGTCTTGCATGTGCTGCTTGGTGTCGGGGTTCATGTTCGAGATTACGGTCGAACTTATGTAGTTGAAATGCGGTAATCATATCACAACCCACAAGCCATATACAGTAGTAGGTGTTTGAAATTCCTCTTCTCGTATTCAACGCTCGTCTAGCCCTCTCATGACTACAATGAATATACCTCAGCAGCCTCAAACACGGATCCAATGCCTCTGCCGTTGTTCCCACCCCGATGTGGGTATTTCGAAGTGATCATCCGGAACAGCACCTGAAGATGTGTGTACGAAGTCAGTGTTTGTCTCACATGCAGTTCGTACATCGGCAATTACGCACCTTTGCAGCGCTCCATCAGCCCCATCCACCACACTTCGAACACGGCACCCTAAGCCGCGCCTGCCCAGGTCGTTTGTATCGTAAGTTGCACCATGCCCCAATAGTGAATGTCGTAATCCTGGCAGCGCCGCGAGACCTCCGCCCACCAACCTTCAAACACCATGTCGAGATTCTCGCGTGTCCAGTCCATCGCTAGATCGAACTCGGCGTTCGTGCCCGGTCGTATCTTTCGTCGCAGCCTGAGGTGGGAGTTCGAAATCAGTGTATGTCTCGCAAGTATATCGACGGGACTTACTTCTTCTAGAGAGCATCTGCCCGCTGCATACAGATCTTGATGACGTCCAGGTGGTCCAGAGCAAGAGCTAGTATAACCCAAGAGAGCATTTTGTGGTACATGGGTCTGCTCGGGTGGTCGATGAGCTCTTTGGCTTTGTTGATGGCTGGGTAAAGCTCGCCGGCCTCGAAGAGGTCTGCGATTTCGTTGAACTCCGCTGCGAAGACGGGGTGGTAGATTTGTGCGAGACGCATAGCGATGGAGGTGGATAGTGATGTTTGTTGCAATGGTGAGATGCGGGAAGCTGAGTGGATGTGATTGGTATGGTCCGTGGTTGCCAGTGCTGTCGTGGATGGCCACCCGGTTGTTTGTAGCATGACGCAACTTTAGAGGAAAGAAGTACACGTGTGCGCCTCTACCTTCCTCCCAGAAACCTACGTGACGTTAAGCCTTCGCCATCTTCCGCTTTTGTATCAATGCAGTTGGCAGTACACCTGTCTAGCCTTTTCCTTCTATGAGATTCTGGTGCCGAGCAAGAGAGGCTTCTCAGTCCGAATCAAACGGATCACGACCGTTCGTCGGCCAACAAGACAATGCCAACGACTCCGACAAGCCTGCCGGCTGTGCAAGAGGATGAGAAAATGTCTTCGACTTCGCAACCAGGATTGTTCAATCGTATTCGCACTGCGAAGGCTTCAAAGCAACCTCAGCGGCTCAGCTCAGTGTAGTAACGTGCTAGAAATCTACAAAAGTGTGTTTTGAGCGATGATGAGCTTCATGGCTTCCGTTTGATAGCTCTACGTTGCAAGTGTACCAACGGTGTCCTTGAAAATGACCTTACGTCTCTTCTTGGTCGGCCGGTCTCGCTCCTTTCCCATCTCTCAAGCTCTCTCATACTCTTCTCCTCGATCAAATACAGCAGAATGGCCGGCATTGTTACTGAAACGCATGTTGTCTGGATCACCGTTATTGCGCCAATGGCAACACCTCCGTATCTTCCACTTCCAGAACAGCTCACATCAACGACGGAATCCAGTACATTTTACGAATGTGCTCCCGATGTACCAGAAACACCAGAAACCTCTAAGTCGGGAATAGCAGTATACGTTACAGCCGCGGTAGGGACTGTGTTTGCTGTTTTAATGTTCGCGTCGTTGATGGCATATTTGAGGAGATCGAAGATGGATGGAAGAAGACCGAGACATGAGAATTGAGTCCCGGGCGCGAGATACCGAAAGGGAACCTTGCTTGGTCGCATGTCATAATCGAACGGAAAATCGAGATCACGACCACACTCACTGTGCCACTGGAACATGCATGGTAGAAGCTCTTACAAATGTACTGATTCCAATGCTGAAACTTGTACTGCTTGACCAAATGTGCAGTTCTCATTAGATCTTCAAATGCGAGGCGTTCTCGTATGCGAAGTCACATGTCTGCCTTTGCAAGGCACCCCAGCGCCTTTCCGTTTATTTCACGCATTTTCAACTAAGCCGATGCTGACAAGATTACCAAGTGCTTGGATATGGCCAAATGTCGCCGTCGAACATGGAGGTCGGCGCAATTATCGGCCAGAGCGGTCCAGAGAATCCTTTGGGTGTTGGCCAAGTAGATAACGAGCATCGAGTGGCCCTCACGATCGCCAATGCAGCGTTGGGTCATCATCTTGGGGTCTTCCAGAAGCATGGTGCTTAGCGCCAGGGTTTTCCAGGTCTGATGATGGCTGCATCCGCTAACAGAACTAGAGAGCCCGGGATGGCCATTTCGTTAGTGATTCCATCGCACAACAGCAGAACTAGGTGCTCCGGTTTTGATAATGGTTATCGCTATGGGGATGTCGATCGGTCCGAAGCGTATCGGATGTGGAGAGTGTTTAGTATTTTCGTTCTTGGTGTGGAGCAGCTGAGCACGCGATATGTAATGCGAATTTAACGCGGATGTCGTAAGAACGGCAATCAGCAGTAGGCCTTTGTGCGGCGATGGTGACGGCCTAGCTGTGTCGGGGAAGGGACGACACCGTCAGGCGCGTCAACTCCTGCCACCCGAACGAGGTGCCGGCCCGTGCACGCGCCGCCTAATGCGGGGGCAAAACCGCCGCGGCTGAACAGGTCCTCACGCAGCAATCAACTCAGCTGCCTCGTGATGCGACTGTCGCAGTACCGCCTCGTACAAGACGCATCTTCGTCAGGCAGATGCCTCGCCCGAAATAACAGGGCAGAATTCCTCCACGACTCGTAGCGGCAGGCAGCCGGGTGGCAGTTCGCTTTTTATCGGATCCCACAAACGTCAAATATCACCTTATCATGCTAGGAGCGAATTAAGGATAGGCAAGAAACTTGGCTCAGCATGCCATGGCCACCGCCAAGACACACAGAGCAGGGTCCGTCCCACCAGTCCAACTGCATCAAGAAGGAGATATACGCGGAGACGACAGACGCGCCAGCATGGCTCGCTGGACCGGGCGATTGGCGCTGCGCTCAAGGCGCTCTAGAAGACACAAGTCGTCAATATTGGTTGGATCTGGCGGTGCCCGTTCCACACCATTCTTTCACTGCGGTCCTCTTTGCTTGGCCGTCTTGGGTTACTTCGCCCGCCGCGACAAGCCTTCCAACGGGTAGCTCGTTATCAGCACCGTTCCGTGGGACCACTATCTCGCCCTCCCCGCAGCCTCGGTCGTATAACAACCGGTGTACCCTGCTGCTTCAGCCGCTCAAGGCTCTCCGCTGCCTCACCAGTATTTGACGTACCAGCTGTAGATACAGTTGCTTTTCCTCGATACCACCAGGTTCGAGTCGCTTCACGTTTTCGGGCTTGCTTCCCGCGATCACCGCTTACACTCACCCGTGTGCGGCTCTTCTCAACACGCGCCATAAAGTACTAGTCTACCTGACTGTACACACCACACTTCGTTCAAAATGGCCATCTGGAACCGCAAGTCGAGTTCTTCGGACGGCGTAAGTCCTCACGCTTCTGATCCTGAGTATGGCACCAAGCCCGAGTACCAGCACGAGACTGGAGAGGTCTCCGCTGTAGACAGCAATGGCGTTGCCGTCCACTCCGACCACACGCATCTGCACCGTGGTCTGAAGTCGCGCCACATTACTATGATTGCCATCGGAGGAGCCATTGGAACTGGTCTCATTATCGGTACTGGTAAAGCGCTGGCACAATCTGGGTAAGTAGCGCGAATCTGGCGACTTCTCATCATCACTAACAACAACAGCCCTGGTTCAATTCTCATCGCCTACACTTCCGTCGGTCTCATCGTCTACGTTGTCATGACTGCTCTCGGCGAAATGGCCGCTTGGATTCCTCACGCTTCTGGTTTCGCTGGCTACGCTACCCGTTTCTGCGACCCTGCTCTCGGGTTTGCTCTTGGTTGGACTTATTGGTGCAAGTACATTATCACGACGCCGAACCAGCTTACTGCCACTGCTTTGATCCTTTCGGAATGGAAGTCTAGAGATGAAGTCAATCCCGGAGTCTGGATTGCAATCTTCCTAGTCGCCATTATCTGTATCAATTACTTCGGTATCAAGTTCTTCGGTGAACTTGAGTTCTGGCTTAGTTCTATCAAAGTCATCACGATTGTAAGTCTCAAGCGCTTTTCGATACAGAACAATACTGACTAATGAAAAGGTTGGTGTCATCTTCCTCTCGTTCCTCCTTGCTGTCGGTGCTGGGCCTGGTCCGGCAACTGGCTTCAAGTACTACAATGACCCCGGTGCGTTCAAGCCATTCATCGCTGGTGGCTCTGCTGGTAAATTCTACGGATTCTGGAGCTCCTTGGTCAACGCCGTCTTCGCCTATCTCGGTACTGAACTTATCGGTGTTACCGTTGGAGAAGCCCAAAACCCGCGCAAGACCATTCCTCGCGCCATCAAGCTCACCTTCTACCGGATCTTGTTCTTCTACTGCTTGTCGGTATTCTTCTTGGGCATGATTGTTCCCTACAATTCCGAGGAGTTGGCGTTCGCAAACAAGGCTACTACTGGTGCCTCCGCTTCTCCTTTTGTCGTCGCCATCAAGCTTGCGAAGATCCCATATCTACCCACGATCGTCAACGCCTGCATCTTGCTCTTCACCTTCAGTGCTTCCAACTCTGACCTTTACATTGCCTCCCGTACGATCTACGGTCTGGCCGTCGAAGGCCATGCCCCTAAGATCTTCCTCTGGACTGATAAGCGCGGTGTGCCCGTACCTGCTTTGGCCATCTCCGCCCTTTTCTGCTGCACTGCTTTCATGAACGCCGCAGATGACGCCAAGGTGGTTTTCGGTTACTTCGTCAATCTCACCACTATTTTTGGACTGTTGTCTTGGATTTCACTTCTGGTCTCGCACATCTGGTTTGTTCGCGCGCGTCGCGCTCAAGGCATCACCAAAGACATGATGGCGTACACTGCTCCGTTCGGTCTTATCGGATCTTACATTGCGCTGTTCTTCTGCATTCTCATCGCCTTGACGAAGAACTTCAGTGTCTTCACCAAGGATCCGAAATATGGCACTTTCGACTACAAGAACTTTGTTACTGGATACCTCGTAAGTCACTCAATTCGTTCATGTGCAACCAGCATGCTAACAAACGTTTCAGGGTATTCCGGTCTACCTGATTTGCATCTTCGGTTACAAGTTCATCATGAAGTCCAAGATGGTCAAGCCTCACGAAGCCGATTTCTACAGTGGCAAGGCCGAGATCGACCGCGAAGAGGAGGAATTCCTCGCTCATGCAGCAGAGAAGAAAGCCACCGAGGGCAAGGGTGGCAGCTGGTTCTACCGAACCTTCGTTGCATGGTTGATCTAGACTGCAATTAGCGACTATATCCGTTAGTTTGGTTTACTAGATGCCATTGCTGTGCGTGCGCCGCAGAAGGTGTTGGTGGTGACCACACCTAACAATAAGAACGGCAAGATATTTCCTGAAAATAAATATTGGATTTTCAACTTCACTGCCATTCAAATTTTGGTCTCGAGCTTTCTTGCCATCCCGACCAGAATGCTGCTTCCGTCCGTGACTTGATGCTTTTACACTCCTACATGACATAACTTATCGCTAAAATGACAGAGCAGGTATCAGAACGTACAACTATCCACCTTGCTAGCTACACATATCATCTAGTATCCACATTAGTGTTCTCCACAGCGGGTATACAAATGCCAAGACAAGTCACGTTACCGCTCTTGGCAGCCATCCTACACCAACACTCACAACGCATGACAACAACGTCGCATTAACCTCACAATTAAGCTTAAACGC